TATTATCCTGTCTTAACATCCCATAAACGGATAGAGTTATCATCACTACCAGATGCTAATGTAGTACCATCAGGAGAGTAACAGATTGTTCTTACATTATCTGAATGGCCATCTAATTTGACTTTTTATTATCCTGTCTTAACATCCCATAAACGGATAGACTAATCTGCGCTACCAGAGGCTAATGTAGCACCATCATGAGAGTAACAAATTGAAGAAACTACATTTGAATGACCATCTAATTTGTCCTTTTATTATCCTATCTTAACATCCCATAAACGGATAGAGGTATCTGAACTACCAGATGTGATTGTAGTACCATCAGGAGAGTAACAAATTGTTCTTACAGAATCTGAATGGCCATCTAATTTGGCGGTTTAGTATCCTGTCTTAACATCCCATAAACGGATAGAGTTATCTGCACTACCAGATGCTAATGTAGTACCATCAGGAGAGTAACAAATTGAATAAACTGTATAACAATGACCAAATAATTTGGCTATTTATTATCCTGTCTTAACATCCCATAAGCGGATAGAGTTAACTGCAGTACCAGATGCTAATGTAGTACCATCAGGAGAGTAACAAATTGTTCTTACATAAGATGAATGACCATCTAATTTGGCTTTTTATTTTCCTGTTTTAAAATTCCATAAATATACAAATCTTCCACTGCTGAAAGCTAATGTGCTAGTATTATGTGAGAAGCATACTGATTTTACTTCTTCCTTTACCTTGATTCTAGAACTTATTTTTCCTGATTTAACATCCCACAATATAATCGAATTATCATCACTACAAGAAGCTAATGATTTACCATTTGGAGAAAAGCATACCTAATTAATACTTTCACCATGACCTTCTAATGTATTTAACTCATCTATTTTGATATCTTTCCATTTACAATTAAACATTTAAGCTTAATTCAAATTTATTCCACTTATATCTACATTTTGAAATTCTGATCCATTGAATATGCATCTTACAAAATTACCACCAACCAAAGAGGTATTTCTTATCCTGATATTCTCAAAACTTTATTCCCTCAAATCCATTTTCATTTAAACTAGCAAATGAAGAGAATTTGATCCACACCAAATATAGGTCTCATCTAAAGCAGTCAGATGAACTAAAAATTTTAGGAATTCTATTATCTTCTTATTCAATGATATTTTT